TGTCCTGCTGTCCTCATACATGCCCTATTGTCCTCATACATGTCCTGTACCAGTCTAACATACTTTTCTGCCACTCCAGATTTCCTCATTCAATACCACACCTCTCTTGGCACTCTGTCAGATGCTTTTTCTAAATCCACAAAGACACAATGGAGTTCTTTCTGACCCTCTCTGTTCTTCTCCATTAGCATCCTCAAATCAAAGATGCATTTGTGGTGCTCTTTCTCAGCATGAAACCATCCTGCTGCTCACATATAGTCACCTCTTGTCTAAGTCTTGCTTCCACAACTCTCTCCCAGATCTTCATTGTGTGGCTCATCAACTTAATTCCCCTGTAGTTGCTACAACTCTGTACATCACCTTGTTCTTAAAAAATACATGCATGTTCTTATTCACTCACAAGGTATGCACGCTCACTTAGTATAAACCCCTTCCCCCCAGTTTTCATATATTACTACTACTATTAATTTATTCATTTTATTACTCTTCGGAAATGTTAAAAGTGTAGAGAGAGACATTCCTGCTGTTATATTTGATTTTATTGTTTAAACATGAATAAATATATAAAAATTAATTAAACTAACTGTCCCCGTTTTTAATTTCATCTTGATAAAATTTTGTTCTTTTTGGTCTCCGAGCTGGGCAGAATGGTGGCGCAACTGGTAGAGCTGCTGCCTCTCAGCGTGCAGGTCCTTGGTTCAAACTCCGGTCCGGGGGCCTTTCTGGGTGGAGCTTGCATGTTCTCTCCGTGCTGCGTGAGTTTTCTCCAAGTACTCCAGTTTCCTCCCACAGACCAAAAACATGCATGTTAGGCTGATTGGTAACTCTAAATTGTCCCTAGGTGTGAGTGAGAGAGTGAATGGTTGTTTGTCTCGTTTGTCTCTATGTGGCCCTGTGATGGACTTGCGACCCGTCCAGGGTGTACCCCGCCCCTCGCACAGTGATTGCTGGACATGGGCACCGGCGACCCCCGTGACCCAAAATGGAATAAACGGGTAAAGAAAATGGATGGATGGATGGATGGTCTCCGAGCTGGGCAGAATGGTGGCGCAACTGGTAGAGCTGCTGCCTCTCAGCGTGCAGGTCCTTGGTTCAAACCCCGGTCCGGGGGCCTTTCTGGGTGGAGCTTGCATGTTCTCTCCGTGCTGCGTGAGTTTTCTCCAAGTACTCCAGTTTCCTCCCACAGACCAAAAACATGCATGTTAGACTGATTGATAACTCTAAATTGTCCCTAGGTGAGAGAGAGAGTGAATGGTTGTTTGTCTTGTTTGTCTCTATGTGTCCCTATGATGGACTGGAGACCTGTCCAGGGTGTACCCTGCCCCTCGCACAGTGATTGCTGGACATGGGCACCGGCGACCCCCGTGACCCAAAATGGAAGAAGCAGGTAAAAGATAATGGATGGATGGATGGTCTCCGAGCTGGAAATGTCTCCAGATTTCACTCCAGAAATCTGGTCACCTTAAATTAAGCCCTGATTACCACCCAATAAACAATGAAGAAAAAAATTTTCTAGAGGTTTCCAGAGATTGTTTGCATGTAAATGGGGCCTTATAGTAGGTACATCACTTTGATTTGGTCATTTTAAAAGTAGCTCGCATGCTGAAAAAGTGGTGGCACCCCTACTTTAAAACATTAATTCTTTGATGAATCCATCCACCCATTGTCTTCCGCTTTTTCCAAAGTTGGGTCGCGGGGGCAGCAGCTTGAGCAGCAGCTTGAGCAGGGAGGTCCACACATCTCTCTCCACAGCCTCTTCCAGCTCTTCTGGGAGGATTCTAAGGTGTTCCCAGGTCAAACAAGAGACGTAGTCTCTCCAGTGTGTCTTGGGTCTTCCCTTCTCCTCCCAGTTGGACATGCCTGAACCACCTCTCTAGGGAGGCGCCCAGGGAGCATCCTTACCAGATGCCCGAACCACCTCAACTGGCTCCTCTCGATGTGGAGGAGTAGCGGTTCTACTCAGAGTCTCTCCCGAATAACTGAACTTCTCACCCTTTCTCTAAGGGAGAGTCCAGCTACCCTGTGGAGAAAACTCATTTCATCCGCCTGTATCCACAATGTCATTCTTTCGGTCACTACCCAGAGCTCATGACCAGAGGTGAGGGTAGGTTCTTTGATGAATATTAGGCCTTTATACACATAGTATTTGTGCAATACTGAATGACTTGTGTCTGTTTACATCTTTGGATAGCTTCTGTGGTTTTGGGCAGTTTTATTCAGTAGGAGACACAGCAGATTTTAATTTTATGTATTTATTTATTTTATATATATATATGATATATTTTATATTATTATATATGTATTTATTTTACTGTAAAGATTTCAGATCCTTGACAGACACTCTTATTTTGAAAGGCCCACCAGTGGGAAGACATTCAGTTCCGGACAATGACGTCACGTTCGGCTGTGTTGGTTTGAGTGACAGGCAGTTCACGTCGACGATATTTTCTACGTAGAAACCGGTGCTTTGTTTGTGTTTGTACGTACCGAACCGCACGGAGTGTTCCGGGTACCGGTCGGTACACACAAGTCCAGCTGAAGCCTGTAACAGGACGCGGTTGTTTGTCCCGCTGACGCCATCATGGACCCCGCCAGTCAAGGTAAAGCTTCTCTTCTCCTCATTTACCGTCTCAACCAGTTGACAACGGTCAGTTTTAATCCACGAGTCTAACAATAAATAGCCCGAACGTGAAATGCCGTGAAGTTTTGTTTGTGTGAATGTTGAACTAATCTTAGTTATTAGACGTTAGAGGACAGGCCCGCTGCTGCGGGACAGGGACAGCAGGTGGAGACAGGGACGTCCTGACGCCCACGTCACGTGTTGTTCAGGAAACGTGTGTGCTTGGATCTGGACGTCAGGGCCTGTCTTTTTATTGTTAATTATTGTGAAACATTTTAAACACATGTGCAAAATCATGTGGCATGTACTACCTCAGGTTGTACATGTTAAAGACACACAGAAATATAACATGAAAAAATGTGTCCCATGTTAAACAAAGGACAAACCAACACCAAAATAAATAAATAAAATATAAAATAAAGAAAAAGATAAAGGGGCACCAGTTCTCGTCAAGTAGATTCAGTTTTTTGTAGGCGTCAAGGAGCTGTACACCTGGTCTGCTCTTCATCAGTTTTAAGGTTCTCATGTGATTCTCCATTAGTAGACTTAAAGACAGACAAGTCCGGTTTTCTATTTCTCCATTTACACGTGTGGATGAAGAATTTGTCAAGTATTAGCAGGTTGTTAATTATAAGATCAGTTCTTCTGTCTGAGGGTGGGTCCAAATATATCCTCTTTTTTTAAGGGATGGGGTAGGAAAAGTTTTCCCAGTATGTTCCAGTGTGCTCACAATAGAAGAGATGGCCTGTAGTTTCAGGATCGCTGTCACAGAAAGTACAGGTGTTCTTGTCCAAGTTGAATCTTTGTCTCAACAGTTCCCTGGATGGAAAAATGTTATGGACAATTTTAAAGTTGACTTCTTTAGCTTTAGGACTCACTTCCGGCGAGCTGATGGACGGCAGCTTCTCTGCAGTCTTTTATCATCAAACTAACCCGTTTTTCGAACCGCACTAAAGTTGGTCCCCCTTCCAACCGAATTCGGTGTTCAGTGACTCAGAGAGCCGGACGCGACCGTCCAAAAATATATTTTGGTCCAGGACCGGACGCTCCCACTTCACCGGTCACTCTGAGCGCACCCTGCCGGCCAGGTGACCCCTCGAGCTGGGGAGTCGTCGCACGAAGGTCCTGTGTTTTTTTCTCTCTCTCTCTGGACCCCAACGAACTTCTCATCTGGACCTTTGTGGTTCTACCTGGTTCTGACAAGAATCGCTGGGTGGTATTTCGCTGGTTTTCTGCTGGACTGGCCCTCGTGGTGTCTTCATTGGTGTGGGGGAAGTGTACCTCTGACCCCCGAACTGGACCAGAACCAAATCAAGTTGGCTGTGGGGGACTTCGTCTTCAGCAGAGTGGGTCTCAGCTTCAGTGAGCAGCCTGTTACCTTTTAACGAAGGATGGTCCACCTCCGTGGAGTCGCTGTGTTCACCTGGAGGAGACGCTCCGATGCTTTGAAGCGCCGCCGGAACCAAAGCGGAGCCAGACCGGAGCAGAACCGGACCGGACCAGTGACGACTTCAGCCTCAGCCTCTCCGGTCAGTCTCGTTTTTCATCGGGAGTGCCTCTCGTGCTGTCTGGTACGGAGGTGACGTGCAGAGAAGCGGAGGAGCAGCGCTGCGTGGTGCTCGAGATAAGTTCGGAGTTTGCATCGGAGTTGCTGCAGGCCTCCATCCAAATTCACCTGGATAATAATTATTTTTATTCTGGATCACATTGTTGTCCCCTGTTGACCTGAAACGAGTTAGGATCATGCCTTTCACTTCAGGAGGATTTTCTGGCAGCTCGTTCTGCTATTTGCTGCAAATTATCTGTTTCTGTTTCGGCCTGTTGATTCTGGACCCAGCTTCTGTTTCCCATGGGAGCATTCCATCCTTCTTCACTGGGGGGCCGGAGCCCCCCATCAGCCCAACTCAAACTGCAGTTGGGCCACCTCGTCGGATTTATTTGCCCATTTGATTTGTGACGCTTTATGGTCTGAGACTTTTCTTATTATTGTTATTATTTTCAGTTCTCAGATTATCTGGAGTCACTGAATCTTGTTAATACACTTGAATCTGACCATCATTGCAACTTTCACTGTTTTTGGGTTCTGAATGATCACGTCTTCATTAATGTTTCTCATGGTTCGATTATGGGGGCTAATTGTCACACTGTTAACTCCTGTAATTACACATTAGGCACAAAAACTCAAGAAAATGTCTGATAATAATGTTGTTACTGTTCTCAGGGATTCAGCCCAACCTTGGACCCCCCACTAATTACAGCACACCAAATGACTTTAAAAACGTGTCAGGACTTAATTTTCTGCATGTAAACGTACGTAGCCTTCTGAAAAAACTTGATGCCTTGAAAATTCTGGTCAGTTCATCTGGGGCAGATTTTATCTTCATCTCTGAAACCTGGCTCAACAAATCTGTACTGAATAATGACCTGGTAATCAATGGATTTAACATTGTTGTGATCTTCAAAAGGGGGGGGGGGGGGTGGAGTTACTATTTACATCAGAGATTCTCTGGTTTCTAGTCTTGTGTCTTCTAAAACGATTCCTAACCAAATTGATGCCTTAGCTGTAGACATCACCTTGAATGGAGGCCAGATCTTATCTGTAGTCTGCTGTTACCGCCCACCTTCAGCAACACCTGAGGCTCTGTCCTCCCTGATGGAATTCCTTGGAAATTTAAAATTCAAAGAGATCTTTTGGCAGGAGATTTCAACATTGACTGGGGTAAGTCGACCCCCCTCTGTGATAAATTCAAGGAATGTTGCCTGTCTCTCAATCTTAGCCAACTGATCAACTCTCCGACAAGATTAAACAAAAACCGTCCTGAAAAATCCTCCATCTTAGACCTGTTTCTAACAAATATGCCTCAAAAATTCCCTGGTACAGGTGTATTCGCTAACATTTTGAGTGATCACTGTGTGACAGTGACTCTCAGAGATATTAAACTTCCACGTTCTAAGCCCAGATTAATTAAAAAAAAGGGGTCTGAAACGTTTTTGTGAACAGACATTCTTCTGGGATCTGTCTCACTTTGACTGGCATCGTATTCTATTAACTGATGACATGAACTCCGCTTGGAACTATTTTCATAATAGTTTCATTTAATTTGTGAACAAACAAACAAACTTTTCGTCAGTTCAGAATAAAGGGACGAGACAGACCCCAGTTTACTCCAGAGCTAGCTGACCTCCTGCACAGAAGAGATCATCTTTGGGCTGCAGTGAGAAAATCTGACTCAGACACTGATTGGTTGAGTTTTCAACAGATGAGGAATAAATGCACAACTGCTGTTAAAGCAGCAAAACGCAACTATTTCTTATCTCAGACCTCCAAAAATCTAAATGACCCTAACAGATTCTGGAAAACCATCAAATCTCTCTCAGGCACCCCCCAATCATCTGACCTCCCATCACAACTTCTCATTAACTCTGTTCCTGTGTCAAATAAGCACGAGATCCTGAACTGTTTCAAACATTTTGTTGCTTCTGGTTCTTTATTTGATACAGTTACTAATGGAAAATCAGCCACTTCACTTAATAACCAAACTTCTACAAATCAAATCCCTCCTACAAGTCAATCCTCAGTTAATTACAGCTTCTCCTTTTCTCCATTCTCAGTCAATGAGGTCAATAAACTGTTTAAAGATCTTGACCCTAAAAAATCTGCATGTCCAGATGAACTTCCACCTTATTTCTCAAGGCTGGCTGCTCATATCATCACAGTCCCTGTGACCCACATCTTCAATCTCTCCATGAGACAAAACTCCATCCCAGACACTTGGAAAACAGCCTTTGTTCTTCCTTTGATGAAGGGAGGAGACCCCACCTCACTGAACAACTATCGGCCAATCTCTAAACTCTGCATTTTAGCCAAGGTTCTAGAAAAACGATAAACTCTCAAATCAAAAATTACCTGGGCTCATTTAACATCTTACCTCTCCATCAATCTGGTTTCAGGAAACAACACAGCACAACCACTGCTTCACTGAAGGTTCTTAATGATGTTGTTGAAGCACTGGATGCTAAGGATTATTGTGCTGCACTTTTCTTAGACCTGTCTAAAGATTCTGACACTGTGGATCATAACATCTTGTGTCATAAACTCAGAAATCGGTTTCTCAGAACACACCATTGGTTGGTTCTCTAACTATCTCTCAGACCGGAGCAATGTGTTCAACATAATGGTACTTCCTCCAGTTATTTAACAGTCAACAATGGTGTACCACAAGGCTCAGTCTTAGGACCCACCCTCTTTACAATCTACATACATAATGTAGGTAAAAACATTACTGATACATCCATACATTTCTATGCTGATGACAGTTTATTGTCAAGCTAAAACAGTTGATAAGGCCTTCCAGCTTTTGAAATCTCCATTCAACAACATCCAGACAGATTTGTTCCACCTCAAACTTGTCCTAAATGCTGACAAAACCAAAGGGATGCTTTTTTTCAAACAGGAAGTTGGTCCCAGCAGTTCTTCCTCTGATTTTATCCTCAAATGGTGTCCCGATTGAGTTTGTTGATTCCTATAAATATTTGGGTATCTTGGTCGACTCTCATCTCTCTTTTAAGCTCCATGTGGAAAACTTGGTAAAGAAACTGAAAGTTAAACTGGGTTTCTTTTTCAGAAACAGATCCTGTCTAACCCTGAATGCTAGGAAACACCTTGTATCTGTGACTTTCCTTCCCTCCATTGATTACGGTGACATTATTTACATGAACGCTCCTACAAGAACCCTGCAGATGTTGGATGCTGTCTATCATGGTGCACTAAGATTCATAACTGGCTGTGATTATCATACCCACCACTGCACCCAGTATTCACTGGTTAACTGGACATAATTAACTTCATGCAGACTCTCTCACTGGTACATTTTCATCTTTAAATCACTTCCTGGTCTGCTGCCTTCATACATCTCCTCCTACATGTCTCTGTGTGAGTGCAGCTACAGCGTGCGCTCTCAGGACATTATTACCTGCAGT